TGTTTCCTATTATCACTCAACATTTTTGAGAAGGTTTAAATATACTCTAGCAAGGACTATTTCCAGAATTATGTCCCCCTTGAACTTAGATTTTTTTCGAGAAATTGTTTTTTTTTACTCCAACTTCTTCATTCCTTTATAGGATTTACTTTAAAATCCACATCGTAAATAATATGACAAGGTTGTTGAACATAATTGCCTTACTAGGCAGGGAAAAAATATGATAAACAAGATCAACAAGGAAAGGCGGCGTTCAATGAACGCAACCCCCAACTTAACACATTACTGTGAAATAGACAAACTTAGAACTCAAAAAAATTTAAGTTCATTCATGTCATTCATTCACTGGTAAAAATTGAAATCAGAATGTTGCTGGGGTTCTAACCGGTAAGGGACTTATGGATTGCTTGCAATACTATGAGAATTGCTTGTTACAATAAGGAAGTTAAGAAATCAAATTGTCAGTCAACAAGAAACCCTGTGCGTCACAGGTCTTTGTCAGAAAAAACTTGCATGCGACAGAATATTTAGCTTGTCTATCTCAATGACAGGTAACTTGTCAAAATTTGCTCAATATTCAATTGTGCGACAGCTAAAAATTGGCCATAACTGGTTAACATTTAGAAATTATCTGCCGCATGTCCTGTGAGGCATTTATTTTTTTCACTAGACTGAAATGCTATAATGTATGTACCAAAGGTATGGATACAAATCTGTCACGAAAAGGAATGAGAACACATTTGCACACAACATCTTCAATACTATAAACCTTGCACTCTGTAGACAAATTATTACTGTATGAATCATTAAATCAGAAGATGGGAGAGGAATATCAAAGAAATTTGTTTTTTGCAGAAATTCTTTTACGACAAGGAATATCTGATGCTCTGGACTTTCAAAACAATATTCACTATAAGAGCAACTTTATTTCTAATGAGAACACAGTTATTACCTTTATGAACAGAGAAAAAAGCTAATGGCAACTGGATTTGAGAGAACTGTGAGAATTTATTAACATCAATTGGTAAAGGGCCATGACAATGTTCTCCTTTTACTGCCCCCAAGACAGGTATACTTTTAGCCTCAGCTTCCAACACAGTTTTTCTGAAAATCGCTTAATCACTTGCTGAAGTGGAAAAATTTGGTTTCCTCACAAGCCGCTTTAGTCTGCCCAAAAAAGCGTCTTAAACACAAATGCAGAGAAGTGCTCAAGTGGTCCAAATTGATCTGACATCTTTTCTATATGTACAAGTCCATGTACATTGTAAACCAAAATGTAGTCACCGTAGAGTTACCAAAATCTTTTGACAAAAATCTCAAGAATCTGGTCCGAGTACAAATTATATCGTTCATGCAAACAGGGGGCTAGATAAGCAATATATTGCTACTGACAACATTAGAAAATGGGTATAAACATCTGATGAAACAACATCAACTAAACACACTGGCCCAGTGTACAGTAAAAATTGTCTTAATTCCGCAGCCTTCCATCTATCTGCATCAACAGTGACCTGCCTTTGCGAAGAAATTCACGAGGTAGATGTTTACCAAGATTCAGCAAATGATCAGAAATCCGACGATTGCCAGATGGCGCAAGTCGACGGCTGCCAATTGGACCTTTGACCCATATGCCAAGCAAGCGTTTAACAACGCCAAGACATACAAGATGCATGAAATCAAATAGAAAACTTTGAGACCATTCTCTATGCCAAGAATTTTCAATGTGGAATCACCCAAAATATGCAATGTGTCCTCCATTTCATCAAACTGAATATCCGTTCTTTCCGTTGCTTTTGTCTCAGGAAAAGTTATCCGATTTTCTATCCGCAGACCTTTTTGACAACACTTGTCACATCCATAATAGCCAGAATGACCTTTGACCTTTTTAACATAAGCGCGAGCAGGTGTGTCGCATATAACACATGAAATAGAAACATCAAACTCAGTGTCAAGATCAGGCACCCGCAATGGTGCTTCTTGAATCTGTACCATTTCCTCAATGAAATCCTTTAAGAATTCATTAACATCAACAGGCTTTTTATCTCCAAGGTAAAGACCAATAACAAAAGGTTCCGACGTAATTGGTTTTGTTGCACGTCCAAAAATCGGCCAGAACTTAGCATCCATCAATATTGATTTGAATCTCAATTTTCATTCATGACTGTTGCAACAGATCACATGGTAACTGTTGCAACAGGCTTCTTAACCCGTTCTCTACACCAAAATGATGATACACCCCACCGCATATCTGTTTTATTTGGATGTGATTAGAAGTTCGTAACAATGTTCTGGGATCTTTCGGTAAACTTGGGTGATGCGGAATCAATATTGTCAATAGCTCTCGCAATGCATTATGGGTAACACCAAATTTTCTTGCCCATTCAGAAAGTCTGTCTTCCAGTTCAAAATCATCATCACAATCATCTGATGATGAAAAATCTTGAAATGTTTCTTCCCTATCATCATCATCATCATCTGAACTTAAAGAGTCTGAATCATCAGAATAACTTAGGAGACCAATGTTAACTGATTGGGAAGATGTTCCTACTTGAAAATGAGCAACGTCAGAAGATACAAAGTCATCACTAACAGCATTTGTTTCTTGATTTTGTTCTGACAAATCAATTACACTTTCACCTCCCATACTTGAATTGCTTTGCATGTGAGAGTCCATTTCATTGTGTGCAACTTCCTGATAAACGGAAGACATGTGTTGAGCTACTTTTGACCTAACATATCTATAAATCTTATAATAACTTTTATCTTTTGCCTTGTGCATTGCTGCAGTTCTAGAATTTCCTTACTCAAGAAAACCTTTTCAAAGGGGTTTCCAAAATGGAAAACTGTAAGTGACTATGATGCTAGAAATAATGGCAGATTTTTGCATGTGCACTGTTCACAGGTATTGTATTTGCTTTATGTCTACAATGATGTCAAGTTATCAAGAACATCAGATTAAAACACTTAAAAAGGCGTTTTTTACACAGGCAAATAGAATTTCTTTATCTATCTATCTATCTTCCAATAAGACAAACCCTTGGTAGGGACTTAGACTGTCACGCGTCAACGACAAAAAAGGAAAAAGATAAAAGAATATAAATATACAGGGTGTATTGTTAAAAACAGGTTAGTACGCTATTGTGCAAATCGCAAACGAAATCGTTTAATTTTGATCAATCGACTGGCACTCTTGTGTGATATGGCGTTTTTTACACAGGCAAATGGAATATCTTTATCTATCTATATATCTTCCAATAAGTCAAATCCTTGGTAGGGACTTAGACTGTCACGCGTCAACGACAAAAGAGATAATAAAAAAGAACGGAAATATACAGGGTGTGTTGTTAAAAACAGGTTAAATATGCTTTGTGCAAAATGCAAACGAAATCGATTTTATTTTGATCAATCGACTGGCATACTTGTGTGATATGGCATTCTTTACGCAGGGCAATGGAATATCTTTATCTATCAATATATCTTCCAACGACAAAAGAGGAAAAAGATAAAATAAAAGAACGGAAATATACAGGGTGTATTGTTAAACACAGGTTAAATACGCTATTGTGCAAATCGCAAACAAAATCGATTTAATTTTGATCAATCGACTGGTACACTTGTGTAATATGTTAACAATATGAAATACTAAATGGATTAAAATTAATAATCCATTGAATACTCAATAATTGGAAAAATTACTTAACAGTGCAATTATATAAATATCTGTAACACGTCAACGACAAAAGAGGAAAAAGATAAAAGAATAAAAGAACGGAAATATACAGGGTGTATTGTCAAAAACAGGTTAAAACAGAGAAGGTTTCTAGGGAATTGTTGCTCCAGAGTGAATAAAAAATGTTAACATTTAATGTTTAACAAAATAAATCAATGCACAGTAATAGTCTAGTTAACTAGTTGTGTGCATCTTTACCAAGAATTAATACATTTTACATTTCTTTTTGAAACCAAGCATCCAAGTTTGAATGAAATAGATTTCAATCACCTGAAAAAATGTGAACGAAACTAAGTAAAGTTTCACCTATTTTCTGTTGATTTTCTTAACTATTTTGTGGTTAGTTATAGTTATAATGTTTTGACACCACTGTTCATTTATTAGACGATATAGTTACTTCAAAATAGCAAAACAGGCTATGTACGACAATGCCCCAGAGTGGGATTATGTACAATATGGGAAGAAGAAGGCTAGTCGCGAAAATACATTACAAAAAGTTAAATCAGGTAGGGACTTCGACTGTCACGCGTCAACGACAAAAGACGGAAAAGATAAAAGAATAAAAGTACGGAAATATGCAGGGTGTATTGTTAAAAACAGAGCAGGTTTCTAGGGAATTGTTGCTCCAGAGTGAAGAAAAAATGTTAACATTTAATGTTTAACAAAATAAATCAATGCACAGTAATAGTCTAGTTAACTAGTTGTGTGCATCTTTAACAAGAATTAATAAATTTTACATTTTTTTTGAAACCAAGCATCGAAGTTTGAATGAAATAGATTTCGATCACCTGAAAACATGTTAACGAAACTAAGTTTCACCTATTTTCTGTTGATTTTCTTAAGTAGTTTGTGGTTTGTTATAGTTATACTGTTTTGACACCACTGTTCATTTATTAGACGATATAGTTACTTCAAAATAGCAAAACAGGCTATGTACGACAATGCCCCAGAGTGGGATTATGTACAATATCTGAAGAAGAAGAAGAAGGCTTGTCGCGAAAATACATTACAAAAAGTAAAATCACGTTTTTGTTACGATATTGTCAAGATTATATTTAAATATCAACAGCACTCATATCTTTAATGCAACCAAATAAGTGTATTTAATTATACATGAAATCACCAGATAAAAGGTTGATTTTTTCAGATCTCTTGTTTCGCCGTTGGATTCCAAATTGCACCATTATTAAAAGACCCGGATGAACGGTGCGGCGGTAAAATACGCTATTGTGCAAATCGCAAACGAAATCGATTAAATTTTGATCAATCGACTGGCACACATTGTAATATGTTTACAATATGAAATACTAAATGGATTAACATTATTAATCCATTGAATACTCAATAATTGGAAAAAATACACAATGCAATTAAATATATCGGCCCGATATCGGAAACCGACATCTATATTCCGACATCTAGCCGATATCGGCCCGATGTGAATGTTTGCTGGGAACTTGCATGCAATATTTATAAGGTCCTTAAGAGTTCATAATGTAACATGAGACACTAATGGTATTTTTAATCCACACATGGATGGAAAAATTGAAAATTTAATAAATTTGTTTTGTATGATATATCCATTAATCGTCTGTATGCACCTATTGGCTGTTAGTCACCCTCTGTAGCATGCTTATCTGCTTGTAACATAGTCTGCAAGGTGAGTGGATGTTGTGCCTTGATGAGGAGCCTGTTTACACTCAAAACTGTCAACACAGTGCTTGCTAATGTTCTGGTAAGGCAACTAATGTATTGGAACACCGTTCAAGGATTACCAAGACTATTTTGTGCTTTCTACCTTAATTTTGACAGTGTTAAGTGTACGGATCCATCATCAAAAGGCACTGGAAATGTTAAGACTTTGCCAATTGGTTTCAGGCTTTTTACCTCATCTGAGCTATTTTTTTAGGTTTGTTGAATGTCCGTTGTCCGTCCACACTTATTCATTAGCACTCTAGCGGTCACATTTTTGCCTCAATCATCATCAAATTTGTCAGGATACTTGTCTAGATGAGATCGAATATGGGTCATCTCGGATGAAAAACACTCTAGTTGTCACATTTTTGACTCCATCAGAATTAAACTTTGTCAGGATGCGTGTCTAGGTAATTGCTTGGATGAGTTCGAACATGGGTCATCTTTGATGAAAAACTAGGTCACAGGTGCTTAAAATAGAAAAACCTTGCTAACACTTTAGTGGTCAGAATTTTGACTCGAGTGTCATCAAACTTGGTCAGGATGCTTGTCTAGGTAATTGCTCGGATGAGTTCGAACATAGGTCATCTCAGATAAAAAACTAGGTCACATTGACAAAATTTTAAAAAAAAACGTGTTAACACTCTAGTGGCTACTATTTTGATCAAAATATACCGGAACTTGGTCTGAAAGTTTATTTTGATGGTTTCTAGGTCAAGTTAGATTATGGGTCACCTAGGGTCAAAACCTAGGTCACACCGCCCAAATATGGCAAAACCTTGTTAACACTCTAGTGGTCATATTTTTTACTCATTTGACATCGAACTTGGGCAGGATGTTTCTCTAGGTAATTGCTCTAATAACTTTGAACATGGGTCATCTCGCATGAAAAACTTTGTCACAGGAGCTAAAATTAGAGAGAAAAAAACTTTTTAACACTAGTGGGTATTATTTTGATCCAAATATCCTGGAAATTGGTCTGAATGTTTGTTTTGGTGATTTCTAAGTCAAGTTTGAATATGGATTACCTATGGTCAGAAACTAGGTCACATCGCCCAAATATGGAAATCCTTGTTAACACTTTAATTGTCATATTTTTGACTTGACTCACCTGTCATGAAACTTGGTCAGAATGCTTGTCTAGGTAATTGCTCAGATGAGGTCGATGGATCAGGTGAGCGATCTAGGGCCATCTTGGCCCTCTTGTTTTGTGTAGGGTTTCTTTATGATAATGTCAATGCTTTGTTTTTGTTTTTTCAAGTCTTGTCAGATCGTGTCAGACACCTTAACTGTGGTCATCATTATTATATAGAATCCAACTATTATGCCTTAAACTGTAACAAAGTCTACATTTCTAAGTGCTTAACCATTTCAGCCATTAACAAGGCTCTGCAAGCACAGTGCAACCTTGGGGTTCAGATAAGGGGAAGATTCAATGTATTTATTTGCGTTTATTGGTTATGAACAGGCTCAATCAAACCGAGCCTGCAACATTTTCAATTTTGCCGTGTTGGGCTGTCTTTAGGGAATCCGTTTTTATCTATTTGGAGATTGGTTTTAATCAATGATGTTATATTTTCGATCCTTGAAGATCGTTCAGCACGACATTATTGTTGTGCTTGTAGTATTTTTAGTTTCAACTTTTCGGCATTTTCTAGTTGGGTGGTTCCAATATTCCTACTTGAATAATGTTGAATCACCC